TAACGCATTTTGAAATCGGTCGCATTTTTTGTTAAAAATGATTTTATTTCACACTTTTTAGTGGAACGTGCAGTATTTTTAGGATAGGGTAAGATGATTTTGCGTTTTTATTGCTTAACTAATAATCATAAACCGAAAAAAAAAAAAATTGACCGAATTTAGATGATTAATAAACAAGTGGGATCATCGTGGATATATTTACTATTAGATGTGAAAGGTTTCATCGCGATCGGTACATTCCTTGTAAAAGTATAAATGATGCATTACGTTGTTTGCGATAAAAGTCGTTAGGAATGAAAGAGTGCAAAATATTTTTTTGCGCGACCAATTGGGAAAAATACTCTATAAGACACAAAAGGTATCGTTTCGATTGGTCCATCCATCTCGGAGTAATCGGTGAACATACGCCGAACGTATATGAAACAGTACGTTTTTTGCAATAAAAATCGTCAGGAATGTGTTACGAGCCTGAGGGGGCGGCTGCGTAGCCGGGGCTTAATTTCGGTTATGGTATTGTTAATGGCTTAACCAGTGCTGTTATTAACACTGGGAGCCTAAGGAAGTAGACGAACCTACGTATGGCTAACGTAGGGAGCCGCAGGAAATGTTAGTATTAGGTCTCGCAACTTAATTAGTGTGCCTCGAACGGTAAAGGTACACCTTAGTGGGTTTTCTGGACTAGTCAATATAATTGAACAGTAATAGATAAGTTAAATAACATGAATTTATTCTCTTTGCCAGGACCTTACAATTGTTGTGTGTAACTGTCGCGGTGTTCAACGAGTTCAATTTTAATTGACAAGTTTAAATGAGTTGCATAATAAGAATTTAATTTCGATTCCGCGAAGCAAGAATCTAATCCTTCTCGGTTTTTGCGAACGCGAGCAAACGGGGGCGGACTACAACGATCAGAATAATGCTTAACAGCAACGTACTGTATAGTTACCGAGTGTTTGAAGGGGGCTTGAATACCCGATCTCGCAGAGTTTCCTTGTTGCAGAGATTATCCGTAAGAGAAACGTACTGACGTGTATCGAATCATTACTAGACTTCAACTAAACCCAAAGTGCCTTCGCCGCCCAAAAATTGGAGTAAAAAAGGATGGTAGGGACGGACTCTATTGTACGCGTCTACTAAGTTGAGACTCGAGGTGTGAAACGCTCCGCCTAATCCTCACCACGAACCCTCGTCTAGTAGTAGTAGTAGTAGTTTCTACTAGTAGTTGTAACCTAGAGAGCGAATAGCGAGAATGCGTGTGGGTCAACTGTATAAGTGTGCGTGTCTAAGTCTGGCCCATCTAGCTCCGACCAATCAGACCCAATTCCTTAGGAGTCTCAACTTAGCAGACGCGTACAGTACCTGACTCCGAGGGACTGCGCCCTTGCTTCGCGTTGGTCTCGAATTTTCTAGAAGACTGTTTATGCCGGGTGTGCACATCCGACTCCGAATAAGGAAATTTCCGAGACGAAAACGCAGCAAATGAAAAAATACAAAATTTCTTTTTTACCGGGCTAATCATGGGACATACTCTACAAGATACAAAAGGCTTCGTTTCGATTGGTCCATCCGGCTCGGAGTAATCGGCGAACATATATGCACATTAAAAAAAGAAGTCGTTAGGAATGACAAAATTCAAAATATTTTTTTTACGGGATTTATTGGGAGACATACTCTACAAGATGAAAACGGTTCCGTTCCGACTGGACTACCCATCTCGGAGTAATCGGTGAACATAAACAAAAAAAAAAAGATAAACCTCCTCCTTTTTCGAAGTCGGTTAAAAAATTTAAAGAACTGTAAGTATATTATTAATAAATTTAAGTATGATAACAATTTAAAATACTTTAAAGGTTAATAAGGGTGTTATATAACAAATATGTAGTAAAGAAAGGAAGTCAACTTAATTCAACTTAATTTTTTATTAATGCATAACATATACTTTTGCCGGATTTGTTTGCTTAAATTTTGCCCTATAAGCCCACTTTTGTATAATTGTAATCATATTTGAGGGTGGTTTATACCTATAGCATTGAAAGGTTGAACTGAGTGGTTGGCAAATAGTATATCTGTCTACAATAAATGATTTCTAATGGGTTTTGCTTGCAAATATAAATGCGATGAAATACGTTTAAGGGTAGTTATTCCGGCATATTCGATTTTCCGTAAAAACGCAAAAACACGTTAATTTATTTTTCTATTAATGTGTAACGTATATTTTTTCAGATTTTTTAATTTAATTTATATTTTATTAGACAAATTTTTATATAGTTGTAATCATATCTTAAAGTGGTTTACTCCCATACGATCGTTTGATCGAAGTGTGTAATTCGTATTTTTCATCCCTTCTAATAATGAAATGTTTTTACCTACCATAGATTTTAGTTACTCGTGCGGATTTTATTAGGTTGTAACATATGGAATGTCCCAATTTTAGAGGTATAATTTTATTAATATTAAATTTTTTCAATCATCGTAATAACCATTAAAATCTACACACTTTTTCCAATATAGGTTTCTAGTTTTTTAATTCTATTTTTGTAAAAATTTAGCGTTTTAGTGTTAATAAATTCTTTCAATATGTACCTGATTCCTAAAGATATTTTCGTTGAAAAAATGATTTAGGTGTTTGGAAAAAGAAAAGGAATCTGTCGACGACAAATCCGGAGAATAATTTGAGTTTTTGTAATCGTGCATTGTCGTGTAGCAAAATTTGTAGCGCCCCTTTGAATTGACTAACACCGGCTATTTATCCTGCAATTTTTTATGCATTTTTCCAATTTCCATACAGTACGTCTCTGCTGTGATGGTTTCACCCGGCTTTATGAAATCATAATGAATCAAACCGGCCATTATCCATCGAACTGTGACCATTGTCTTCTCCGGGTACAAGGTTGGTTTTGGCATTTGACGTAGGGTTTCTTTTCTAGTCAACCATTGAACAGAACGTTTCCTATTATCGTATAAAACCCATTTTTCATCGTATTTGATAATACGATCGAAAAAAACGAGTCCCTCTAATTTCGAATCAATAACGAATTGCACATTTCCAGGCGTTGAAGCTTTTGTCGATCATTCGATTCATGTGGTATCCATTTATCCATCTTCTTCACCTTACCAATGGATCGCAAATTCGGTGTTATTACATTAACACCGAATTCCTGGGCTGCTTCTCTAACCGTTCGTCGGGGATTTTCTTTAATCGAAAGCTTTAATTGCTCATCGTTAATTATGGTGGCTCATTTTCGAGGTTTTCCATGCATGTTCGATTTCGAATTTTTTATACCATCGGCGTACTGAACGTTCATTAACAATATTATTAGCGAATGCAGCGTTGATATTTCATGCAGCTTGTTTTAACAAGTAGATCCACATAGCCTTAATTTCGGAGTGGTTCTTCGAGCACAGTATAGTTTCTGACGATTTCATTTAAAATTTCGCGTCCAATCGACTTCAGGTGTTGGCGTGACAAACGATTACTTTGTTTTGTGGTGGGAGAAAGTTTATATCAGTCATTCCTAAAGTGGTCTATATCGACTCGCAGAGGTCGATTCCGACCTGCAAGGGGTCCATGTCAGTGAAAAAAAAAAAAAAATGGAGGGTGCATGAGATGTGAATGCACTCTCGTGGACCCCATTCGATTTCAATTTTCAACAAAATTCGAAGGATTTATTCAGCCACAAGCGTTAACATACAATTTTTGCAATTGGTTATATTTAACCCATTCACTGGCAGGCAAATTTAGAGCGTTTTGTCCTGTGCGCCAAGATTTTATTTTAAGGAAATGTAAGTTTACAAAAAAAAAATATTGTTATATAAAATTTTCGTTTATTCTTTCTAATAATTCCTAATTCAAACGGCTTTATAAGTTTATACTTATTCCGTGACGAACTGCGACCAATCTAAACTTGTAGCGCAAAGTACGAGATACCTCGTAGTTGGCAGTGAATGGGTTAAAAAAAGTTACGTTGTTATATGTGAGACAACCAAGTTGATGCTTGACATTTTTAACTTTGAAGGGTTGTTTAACACTCTAAAAGTATGTATTTTTCTGCGGATACAGAAGAGAAACGTGTCGCTTAATTTCTCAAGTACTACACATATGTCAAAACAAAGAAAGTCGGAGGAAGACACTTATTTAGGATTCCTTGTAAGTAAACATATCGATCCATTGTTTAATCTATAAAGACAAGTTCTCCTAAACCGAAAAAGTTCATACATCCCCATACCAACGCGCCACCACCCCCATGTTTCACCGTAGAAACGATGTTTTCCGGATTTAACTTCGTGTTAGCTTGTCATCATATTTTTATTTGCCCATCCGATTGGGAAATATTAAATTTGCTTTCGGACAGGCGGAAATTAAAATTTGATCTCGGAAGTCTTATCATATTTGTGAATTCTAATCTTTTTTTCTTTTTATTAGTTTTACTGATCAATAGTTTCATGAGGCAATAGCTTGAGGCGCAATTCATGAAATGTGAATTTTTCTTGCTCAGCTTTCCCTCTATTTATATTAATCATTGACCAAAGCAAAGATCAAAGCATTAGAAAAGAAAGAAAGACGTAGGTTATAATTTTCTTCATTCTTTTTAATTTTTAAAAGACAAATTAGTGATTAATATACATAATTAAATTATTTTCTGTAGAGCGTGATCCCGTTATTTAACACAAAAAATCATAAATTAAGACAAGCGCTATTGGTATTTTTCGACACAAAAAATATATTTCAATTTTCTGTAATTTTATTCAAGTGATATAAATAAACTTTGCAATAGTCAAGTTATAATAAAGTGATGGAGTATCGCATTTTAATTGTTTAATTCTTCCTTAAGTTTATTTATGTTTGAAAGGGGGAGTGGGAAATAGGAAGGCGCAAAAAATGGAAAATAGCTCGGTTTGAAAAAAGCCCTGAGCCGGCCCTGGTTATAATACCCTTAGTAATACAACATTCCACATGCATTATGTTTAAAAAAAGTAATGGCCAAATGTTGAAATATTACCTGTATTTGACAGACAACTTCACCGTAAGGCCAACATCCATACACAGCTGGTAGGAAGCCGAATGGTGTAACCAGGAGACCAATAGCGAAGTCGTTGCTTGCCAGACTCGTCAGTAAATATCTTGGCTGCAATCAAATAAAAGAGAACTTGTTGATAATTTAAATTACATTTTTGATTTCCTATCAATTACAAAATTAAATATTAAATTAATTTCATTTATTTGTGACTCCTTAGCAATCGTTATATAATTTTAAGCAGCAGATCTATGTTAATTCTGAAGATGTTTCTAAAATTTCGGAATTTTGTACAATTAATTATGATTAAACGCAATATTGAATATTTCTACCTTTTGATATCTTGAATTGTTTATTATGTAAACAAAACGACCGTGTAGCTATAATAAGGTATTCCTGTAACTAATATCCAATTAATTAAAATACCTAATTTAAATTAACGCAAATTACGGATATTCGCTTCTTAGCGATTTCTTTGACAAATACTTTTAATATTTATAAAATATTATTCAATAGTGAAAAAAAAGATAAAGATATATTTGTATTAATGGAATAAATATTAGTGAAATGTTACGAAATAAATTCATGGTAACCCTATCGTGGACGTAACTTTTTTGTGAAAAAATAATTATTTCAACATAAGGAATATTAAGTTGAATACATATTCATTTTAATAAAATTAATTTATTTTGTTGTACTGTCTTTTGTAAGTAGGGTTAGAGGGTGCTATAATTCCCACCCCCAATGTACATGTTTTTTACTTTGAAGTTGCGCATACGAGTGACCTCAGTTCGTGGAAAAAATAATTCACAACGTCTACGAAAGGGTTAAATTACAGAGCCAGATGATGAGTACAGAGGAGCCCTTTGTAATTCTGCGCATTACGTTAATCTTTTTGGTGGGGAGACTTGTTAATATACTAATTAAAATTCTATAAAATTAATGACTTTCGTAATTTCAGATTTTGTTTTGTATATAATAAAAATTATTGATAGTAATTTATATTTAACGATAAGAGTTCCATTTAGGTTAAACTGCGAAATTAAATAATATCGGGAGATAGGTGTATTTGTAATTATAATATTCAACATTCCTTATTGCTATTCTTCGCCTTACTTTTATGCACTCTATTAGGTGCAAATTGCAATTTGAAAATTAATATTAATATTATATAATAAAATTAATAAAAGTATATAATAAAATTGATATTAATTTTGAGATTGCAATTTGCACCTATTAGAGTCGATAAAAGTAAGGCGAAGAATAGCAATATGGAATGTTGAATATTATAATTACAAATACACCTATCTCCCAATTTACGCGGTTTTTAAAATAACAGGTTTCTAAAAATAAAAATTGTTAAAAATATAGAAATTTTTGTACAGAACATGTTTAGTAACTTTTGCTTGTTAACACTAGAAAAAATGAAACACAGTTGTTAATGATAGATTTCATTACCAAATCTCTATGGTCGGGAATTGTTACAAATTCATCAAACATCAAACCAAAATCGCCTCAAATACTATTGACTGACGAAAATGAAATTCTACCAACCAGCAAGAAAAGATTAATAATCTATGATATTGATGATAATAATTAAACCTTTAGACTCATTTTTTATGAATTTTGTAGTTCTAGTTTCTATAAAATGAATTACATATAGCTTTATATATTTGTGATTTCATGAATGAATTTTTATCATTTGTATTTTATTTTTGTTTTACTTTGAAGTAAACGAATTTAATTAAATAAATAAATTATGCGTATTTTTTTCTTTTATTTACGCGATTCTTCGTACAAAAAGCCATGATTTCGGTTTACACGATATTCTGAGGAACCGATTTTCCTGATAAGTTTTCGTTTCTAAGAAATTCTATTTCCTATAGCCCCGAGCAAGGAAAGTTATCGAGAGAGTACTGCAATAAAATTTAATTAAGTTATAATTAATTTTTGACAGTGCCGGCGGAAATTATGTGGAATGTGTGTAGTATTCCACACTTAAGATTTTGCTCTGTGTAAAATTCCACATTCGAGAACTTGAAAGACATTTTACCGCTGTTATTTCTTCTTTACGTACGAATGTTTCTTTAGTTTCCTTGGACAACAATACAGTTCTTCTAATATTTTCGGAACGAGTGTCATATGTCTGAAACACATCGAGCGTCGCTCGATTAAACGGGACGTAAGGAGAAGGCATCTGTTATTGTTTCTTACACGCGAGGAAAGCAGCGACAAATTGCTTCTATCATCTTCTTGCCTATAAGAAATATGTACTTATGTGAGTTTAGCAAATAGTGGGAAACGCCTTCTGCGTTTCGTAGAAAACAGCAAACCGGAACGTATGTACTTGAAACGTACATTAATAATTTACTCCCATAATAATTTAACATACAATATGTTATTACATTCACTCTCCTTCCCCGATTTTGCTTTTAACCATGTAAAGTCTAATAGTTAATGCAGATAAGTACTTGACCGCACTCCGCTGTCAATATACAGTAGAACCTCGATTATCCGAACTAATTCTATTTAGAATTTTCGGATAATCAAACGATTTATATTAGGAACACATTACCACTCAGGATCACTGCTAACCAACCCCTTGTTTTCCACAAAATACCAGACTACTTAGCTCTACTTAACAAAAGCTATATTAATCGGAGTTTTGAAAGGTGGATAGGCTTCGAAACTGTGAGTACCTAAATGCATTTCTGCATCTTGGAGCTAAAATGTATTCACCGCATTTTTCTAAAAAAAAAAATGACATTACATGATTCCTGTACCAAATTTTACACTCTTTCAAATAGTATACATTATTTTATTCTAAGTCGGTTAATTTTTAAAGTAATAGTGTAAAAATAATATCAAGTACATCTCTTATTCTGAGCTAAACAATCTAAAGTGCTTTTGGTACTAGTTTACAAAAAAATTCAGGATTAAACAATTTTAAGTCCAGTGTAAGGTTAAAATAATTTTGGACTTGATACCTGCTTTAAAGGATACGTCAGATTCATATAACACTTTATCCAGGTTTATACTAATATTAAGTTACACAAGAGAGGATAGAAAAGTGGAGGCAGACAGTACTAAGTCAAGATATGTTGATATCAAGCCACTAAAATACCCAACGTTAGAACCAGACAGTGTCAAGTTTCATTTATTATTTATTTCAAAAAGCAACAATGTCCAGTACACGATTTCATTTTAAAACAATAAAACGATACATTCTTTATTTGCGTAAAAAAAAATTACGTACATGTCTCTAATGGTTTCAAAATTACAAGGCTTTTGCACCGTTGATCTCTTCTCCTCTAAAACTTGAAAAGTTTAATTTAATCCTTAGCTGGCACTGTGGGGTGTGAGACGACCCAGCTAATTCAGCTTTTTTCCTTTTTGGCTAAAATTCGTCCCTTTAACTCTCTAAATATATACCTTTTTTGAAACCACGACTTTTTTACTATTCTTTCCCTAAAAATGTTCAATTTGAAGAATGTACAGCTAAAATTTCAGCTCTTGATATGAAAATTTGATAAAGTTATGAATTTTTCTGTGCAAACTGTCATTTTTTCGACTTTTCTACGTTTTTCAATTGTTTCTCATACTCAATATTTAATTTTACTAGAATTAGCTATGAAATATGTTAAAACAACTTTCAAAGATTATCTAGGAATTTTTTCAAGTTAAAATAATGAATAGCTTCTTCGCAGGAAATATTTTATTGGTTGGGGTCAAAAACGTCCTAGTGTGCCAGCCATGTTATTCTGGTGAAGTATGCCAGCTAAGGGCTAATACACTCTAGCAAAATATCCAGACCTATCCTTAATAGAACCAAAAGGACCTATTTTTATTTAATTAAATACATTAAAAAATTTAATTTCCTTTTATTTAAAAATAGCTTCCTTTTAAACCCGAAGTCTTTAACAACAGATATTAACTTTAAAAATATGAAATTCATGTAGTACTTTTCAATTAATATATTATTGCGCAAACTAGCCTAAAACCTCAGTAATTGGGGCGTAACGTAGTAAGAAAATCATCCTGTATACCAGTCATGGTTAGTAAATAGTAAATCGAGCATGAACGCTCCAGGCTGTTCAGAAACTTGGCTGGGAGCTTGAAGGAGAGCACAAAATCACAAACGTGGAGAAGCCATTCTCCTTTCCTCAGTTTCTCAAATTCGCGCAATCGAGTCACGTTCGTACAGTAAAGCGGACTTATGTTCGATATAGCAAAATCGAAACGCGTTCGCAGAGCCGAGCCAAACTATGTTCGCATCGTCAAGACACAAAGTTGTCAATCGGAAAGTTTAGTCTAAAGCTCAAAGAATTCTTGAAATATATTTTGAGAGTTTCATGAAGAGAACTTGAGAAACTCTGCATGGAAAATTGCATGAATAGCGCGATAATAAAAAGCTGTGTTGACATAAAACGATAAAAATTCTGCGATTTTGTAGTTCAAAGATTTTGAGGCGATGAAGCAATAGTTTCTCATAATTCTTTTTAAAAAATATATTTTTTACGATTATACAGCGGCGTACAGAGATCAATTTTGCAATTTAGTTTTCAAAACCTTGTAAAGATTAACATTTTTTTTATAACTTTCCCCAAAGGTGCTCTATACGTTGATCAGTATATTTTTTCGGATAATCAATATCAGAATTAATATGCATTTCTGTCAAGATTTGCTAAGTACTTACTTTGCTAGAGGTATTATTATCATTAACCGTACGATTGAATACTCGCCTTACAATTAGAACTCCTTCACACGAGGATACATCGATACGATACACTGCGAGAAGATGGCATGACCAAAACTTGTAGGGATCTACGCTCTGCTACCCGATATCCCTACTTCGCATCACAAGTATTTTCGTAATTGGTCGAATCGCTTGACGAAGAAAACAAATGAGTCAGTCAAGTGTGACTGAAAGAGAACGATGCGGTGACTGGAAGGAGCAATGGCGTAGCCTTCAGAACCTATGGGTGGGGATTAAACTAGACATTAAGAGTGGGGTCAGGCGGAGCAAACGAAGATCCCCGGTTCTCTTCTACACCGTATATCGCATGCCATCTTCTCGCGGACGAACCTTACCTGCAATTTCTTTCATACGG